TCGGAAAACAATAATGTCAACCTCATATTTTCCCATTGAGATGCTATTTCCATGAAAATGAAAATCTAAACAGACAAAGCTAGAATTCCACTGTTGGTGGAGGGTTTCAACACATTACTACCTTGCTGTCTAATGAAATGTCTTTAACCCCTTAAGGACCAAACTTCTGGAATAAAAGGGAATCGTGACATGTCACGCATGTCCTGTGTCCTTAAGGGGTTAAAGATTCCATGTAGCACTCATCCATTCTTCTATCCTGTGACTTAAGAAGTATGGGGTCGCTTTAAATTATACATTCTTTCAAAGTAAGTGACTTACCTGGGCATGCTTCTTCAGCAGTGCCAAGCACGACGCCCTGTAACCAGAATATTGTAAGTACGATTGCCCAAACGAAGACAATGCGGGTCATTATGGTCTTGTTCAAAGTTCTTGTCTACTGAGCAGAAAATGTTTGAGTGAAATAAGAAAAGAAAAAAATACCATCGTATACAAACACCTCCCATTTATTGTGTAATCTCGAATTGGCTGTGATACTCCCATTACCCAATACATTGTGCAAACAAGTGCTTTATCAAGAAACACCTCCTTAAAACATTTTCCCAATTCCACGGCTTATTGGAATCTTAACAGCAAATAAGACAAACTGCATAGGAAGAAGATGTTAATGGAACTCCTAAATAATTGCAATTTAGAAGAGTTGGAACATAGAAGCACAATATAGGGCAGCCTGGGGGAAAACAGCAAATAGTGAGAGTTCAGGGAAGCGGTTTAATTTGACAGTAAGAGAGTAAAGTGTCCTGTGGGGCAACTAAATGTGTTAAGAGGGTATAAGCGACAGATTTAAGGAATGGAAACTAACCAAGGAGAACATAGATTTTCTTGAAGAGAGGAGGTTTAAGGGATCTGCACTTAAATATAATTTATGTTGTAGGCCAACCCAGCACATTATAACACCAAGCTCTGCCCCCTTTCTTAATTTTATTTAGCATTGTATACCAACACTTCAATAACTGGAAAATAATAATAATAAAACAAATATAGTTGTATGCTATGTTTAATATTGTGCAAAGACAGCAGCCCACAGACTTCTCTATACTAGTGGGTTGGGGTAATAAAATGTTATACAAGACTATGTAACCCCTACTCCTCACTACAGGTCCTACAGTGATCCTATAAATCCCCAAAACATCTCCTGTCACCCCACTATAGCCCCTACCCCCAATATAGCCCCGGTCACCCCACTATACGCCCTGTCACCCGAGTATAGCCCCTACCCACACCATAGCCCCTATCACCCCACTATACCCGCTGTCACCCCACTATAGCCCCTATAACCACTACAGCCACTGTCAGCCCCTATATCCACTACCCACCCCACAATAGTCATTATACTCCCACTACATCACCTGTTCTCTCACTACAGCCCCTGTCACCTCACTACACTTCCTATCCACTCCACAATACTCTTTATTCCCCCATTATAGCCCATGTTCCCCACTATAGTCTCTATACCCCGTCACCCCACTATAGCCCCTGTCACCTTACTATACCCACTATCCACAACACAATAGTTCCTATTCTCTGACTACAGTCTCTAGTCTCCCACTACAGACCCTGTCGTCCCACTATACCCACTATCTGCCACATCTCAAGTCCCTATCCTCCCATTACAGCCCCCATTTCTCCACTACATCCCCTATAGCCACACTATAGCCACTACCACCCCTAAAGCAGAATTGCACAAACATACAACACCACAAGCAGCCTCCAAACACATACACACTGTCCCAGCCCTGTCCCACTTATCATCCAACCAACCACCTAGTCACATTTACCATTCAATCACACCACAAACTATGTATGAATGGACCCAATCTAATATTACAACCTCTGTATATATATATATATATATCTTTAGGAGGGTACATTCAGGAAACTGTCCTTGGTGCAGTCCTATTCCTGCTAATTCCATAACCTGGGCAGTGGAATGTCTCATGTTCGGAGGTAACACTTGCCTTGGCTCACCTTCCCTGGATTTGTAATATTACAGAACACAAAAAAAAAAACTATTAGAGTTAAATCAATATCTCAATGTCACAATAATAAATAAACGAAAGAGGAAAAAGGTAAAAACAATACTACAAATAAATCAGACATTTACGTAAAAATAGTAATTGACTATATAATATATTAAATAGTTAGAATTTTTTAGTATTGAAAATTATGGCAGTTACTAAAAACAGCGACAGTCTTTTAACTATTAGTGACGTAGTTAAATGACTACAAATAAGTTTATAGTCTTCAACAAGAAATTCCATGGTCTCCGAGAATTCCCCCCACTCTGTAACAGTTCCTCCTTTTTGTTTAATGGGGATCCAGGAAATCCAAACGTTATATATAATATTTATTTATTTATTGCTGGTATTTATAAATTGCCAACAGATTTTGCAGCGCTCTACAATTAGTGGAGAACGTACAATATACACAGACAAATAAAAGAGGTCAAGAGAACCCTGCCCGTAAACTGGTAACTAGCCATTGGAGCTCTTTTGCACAAACTGATCAGCTAGATGGCCCATGAGCTTACAATCTAAAGTATACAATGGGGATTTGAGACAAGATGTAGCAGGGGAAATTTGGAAGTGATGGCTAAAAGAGTTAAAAGAGAGAAGCAGCTATTGGTAAAATATAAAGGGAATGAAGAGGTAATTGAGTGAGAATCTCAAACAGCTGGAGGAGCGGGCTATTTATTTATGGGGAACCTGGGTGGAAAGTGGTGAGGGTTGTTGGATTTGCTGCAGAATGTAAATGCAGAGCTCCACCGAGTATGAGTGTGAGAAGAGGCCTGAAGGACATAGATGGAACAGTTATATGAAGGTATTTACAGCTGGGAGGAGAATAAGAAAGAGAGGGAGGAGAGGTGGGGGAGGGTAGAGTAGCCATGTCTTATATACTATTGAAAAGTTTAGCAACCAAATCCTATCACCCAAAATATTAATAACTGTGTACATGAAACCACGGAGCAACGCAGGTTAGAGTGGGCCTTGACAGAGCCAGGAGTAGGCAGGTGAAGTTTAGGTCAAGGGGCTGATCTAAGGTAATGCAGGGGGAGGGGTGTAGGGGGGAAGTTAAATAGCGGCCATTTTAGTGAATGGCCGTTTTAACTTGAGCCTTACTTACCTGTAAATTGTCCCACCCACCCACCCACGCTATGAGTATGAGGTAGTTCCTGTTTGGTCACAGCGGTGGGAAAAGGTCTTGGTTAAACAGGAAGTTTGGTGGATTATGAAATTGGTAGGCCAAGGTCTATGCTGGAGTAGGCTGGAGTTAAAAGTGTGGAGGTAGGTTCGAACCCATCGGTGGCTACGAACCAAGGGGTGTAAGGGTGTCTGGGTACACCCCTACAGTTCTACAAATGGAGGTGGGGCCTCTTGGTAGGCCGTGAGTTACATGTTATGTATTATTGGTTATGTTAATGTTTGTTCTTTGGTAGGGTCATTGTCGGAGGTATGGGACAGGAGAGCGCGGCACGAAAGAAGTACTATTGACAATGACCCTAAATTGTTAATTTATATATTTATCTTAATTAATAAAGCTGTGTACTTTATACTCCAACAGAACTTATTGGTGTCTGAGTGTTATTAAAGTTACAGTTTGGCACATGCCGAATAACGACTGTGCAATAATGTCATGAAATATTGGTCAGAAACATTAAATGACAATAATACAAACTGCATGCACAGAAAATTACAATGGTAAACTACAGGTATAAATAGTAACACATCTATAGTAACACGTGATAATATGGCAGTAATGCAAGAATAAATGAGATGGAGTATCTTGCAAGCTTCAGTCAATACCTGAGGGTTGTTGGATTTGCTGCAGGATTTTAAATGTAGAGCTTCACTGAGTATGAGTGTGAGATGAGGCCGAGGGGTGATGGATTATAAATATATTATTACAAAATTTATATGTAAGTATATCATTTATATAACCCAAAATGGCTATATCAATTACATATTTCATTAATTTAAAAACTTCACTCCTTCCAGCACTTCAGAAATATAAGCATTATGAATACCAAAACAAATACAAATGTTAGCATTTAATTATGCATTTTAGCTAAATATAGGTTGCAAAAGCTGCAGATCTCTTGTCTGCAGCCTGTGCAAGCCCTCCCATTCTAACCCTACCCAGACTTTCTGTGGCCATCCAATCTCAGGCTTGCCAATGCAGCTCAATGAGAAGTCTTTGCAAGTAACATGACCGCTTGCCTGATTGACAGACATGGGAGTGTTAATTTATAAAAGTGTCAATTGCTATTGAAAGCCATCAATTATCTTTTATTTTCATTAATCCTCTAATTATTCAGCATCACAAGCAATATTCTAATTAGTGGCACACATTCTTCCTTCCAAACATGTCTGCAGTTCAGATATATCTCTGTTCAGAATTCAGGAAACCAGGCAAGCACTCGATCAGCTCAAATTCAGCCAAACTGCAGTTCAGTTCAGTTTCCAAGTCTACGAAATACAAATTGTCTACTGTATCTATTACTTTCTTTGTAATGAACTCTGGCAAATGATGTCCAATTTAGGAGTTACACGTGGAATTAATAAAATACGTTTACATTTTTTAAAATTTTATTTTTAAAAAAGTCTGTGCTAGCAAGTGTCAGGTTCTCAGAGATTATATCTTGGAAGAAAGCAAAGATTCTCCCTGTTTCTGTAAACAAGAGAGAAGTGGAATGCGATAACTGAGCAATCTACGTATTTGGCATTCTGAATCTAATCCCAGGAAGCTGTTATATATGATTCCTGTAATGCATTTACAAAATATATGCACCATCGTGATTAAAATTTAATTCTCAATATTTAATATTAGAACACAGACATATTTATTCTAATTTATTATAGCAAAAAAATAAAAATAAAAACATAAACCCACTTCTTTATTTGTCCTCTGTTAATACATGGTTCTTGTTAGCTGATGACCTGTCCATGGGTATGGATCTATTCAATGATGACCTGTCCATGGGTATGGATCTTTTCAATGATGACCTGTCCATGGGTATGGATCTTTTTGATGATGACCTGTCCATGGGTATGGATCTTTTCAATGATGACCTGTCCATGGGTATGGATCTTTTCGATGATGACCTGTCCATGGGTATGGATCTTTTCGATGATGACCTGTCCATGGGTATGGATCTTTTCAATGATGACCTGTCCATGGGTATGGATCTATTCAATGATGACCTGTCCATGGGTATGGATCTTTTCAATGATGACCTGTCCATGGGTATGGATCTTTTCAATGATGACCTGTCCATGGGTATGGATCTTTTCAATGATGACCTGTCCATGGGTATGGATCTTTTCAATGATGACCTGTCCATGGGTATGGATCTTTTCGATGATGACCTGTCCATGGGTATGGATCTTTTCGATGATGACCTGTCCATGGGTATGGATCTTTTCAATGATGACCTATCCATGGGTATGGATCTTTTCAATGATGACCTGCCCATGGGTATGGATCTTTTCACATGATGACCTAAACATGGATATGGTTTTTCTTGTGGCCCAGGGTGACTCATTTTGCCATTTACCAAGATCAGAACATCCTTTTTGTGATTCTCACATATTTTATAAACTGGCTATTTGTTTTCCGGCGCCAGTGTTTAATAGCCAGCATTATATATATATATATATTAGTTATATGTTAAAGGGACACTGTAGTCATCAGAACAGCTACAGGTTAATGCAGTTGTTCTGGTGTCTACAGACTGTCCCTGGAGGATTTTTAATGTAAACAATGCCTTTTCAGAGAAATTTTGAAAGATCAATATTTTGAAAAAACCCTGGATTTAGCAAAGTCTTGCAGGTCAATATACAATTCCCACCAAACCTGTGAAAAGAGTGATAGCATGTACCAGCGGACTCCAACACATCAATGCAAAATCAAACTAAAAGGGATGGTTTAAAATAAAATCATGAAACTATAACTAATAGTGTACTCCTGCTTAAATGGGCTACTAGAAAGTGACAGATCTTAAAGGAACACTTATAGGGTGAGGAATAAAAACATGCCTGACACTGTAGAGTTAAAATAACTATTTCGATTCCAAGTATCCCCTTAAATAAGTAGAAAAGTCACAATTATTCCATCTGCCGGCACTAGTCCCACGCCCGATCCACCTCATCGAATTGTGATCTCAGCCAAGGAGGCACGGTGGGACTGGAGCCAAACGCCCCACTGGCCAATCAGCATCTCCTCCTAGAAATGAATTGAATCAATCAGTGCCTCCGTGCAAAGCACCTCTAGTGGCCATCTGAGGAGTGGCTACTGGAGGTGTTACTAGACAACAATGTTAACACTGCCTTTTCTCTGAAAATTTTACATGAAAATGTCTGCAGGGATTGACTATATTCAACAACAAAAAACTACATCAAGCTATATTTGTTCTGGGGACTATAGTGCCCCTTTAAACATGGACAGCCTTGAAGGGCACACAATGTTACAGATTGTACCCCTCATATAGCAGTTTGTATAAAACACAACAGTTATCAGATTAAAGCACACAGTCTGGCCCCTGGGTCTATAAGCAGGGCTCTTGACTCCATTAGCCATGATATGTTTAAAGGACCGCTATAGGCACCCAGACCACTTCAGCTTAATGAAGTGGTCTGGGTGCCAGGTCTATCTAGGATTAACCCTTTCTGCTGTAAACATAGCAGTTTCAGAGAAACTGCTATGTTTACCTATGGGTTAATCCAGCCTCTAGTGGCTGTCTCATTGACAGCCGCTAGAGGTGCTTCCGCGCTTCTCACTGTGATTTTCACAGTGATAAGACGCCAGTATCCACAGGAAAGCATTGAGAATGCTTTCCTATGGACTGGCTGAATGCGCGCACGGCTCTTGCCGCATATGTGCATTCAGCCGATGACGGGGAAAGAAGGCGGAGAGTCCCCACCGCTGAGGGAGCCCGGCGCTGGAGAAAAGTAAAGGATTAACCCCTTCCTCTCCATCCAGCCTTGCGGGAGGGGGATCCAGGGGGTGAGGGGGACCCAAGGACCATATAGAGCCCAGAAAATGATTTTTTTTTTTCTGGATCTATAGTTGTCCTTTAATTAAATAATCTACTTTGAATGTAATGAAAGCAAATATAGTCAGGTATACAGCAGTAACTATATCTGTAAAAGCGATGGCAATTCCCTGTTTGATGTTTATTGCTGCAGAAAGAGAGTTTCTGTTTTCTAGCAGACAGTCGGCAGTCATTATGCTTGTATTAAGTTATTCTGAGCTGTACGTTCCCTGGTCACTGATCAGGAATTAAAACCCAGGTGTGTTTATTGGTTGAGATATTGAGCAATCAGGCTGGCACAGATAAGCTTTAATTCTTTCCTTGTTTAATTCCCAGCTTAGTATCTGCAATGTTGCTGCACTAAATACATAACAGAAACGTCTCTAAACATTTACTCAGGTCTGTGATCTTATCTTGATGTTCTTTTGAAAATAAAATCCATTAACATTCGGGAATTAGTGAAATTTCAATGTGTTTCCTCATATGTAGCTAGTAGCAGTAAAAAAGCAGCGGTACACAATATTCCATTCTTTGTCTCAAAGTGATGATAGTCAAATACTCGATCATGGAATATTGGAGCATGAAAAACTGCAAATTTTAGGTAAAAATAGTCATGGTGGAAAAATAGCTGTAGACTTTTCTGGCTGCTGTTGCCTACTGTCTCCAAATCACTTCCGGGTTCCGGGTCCGTAATGCATTTCCTTGCCGCTGTTGCCGGCTGACCATTTGACAAAGCCCTGTGGGTGGGGCGAAATGCATTACGGACACGGAACCAGGAAGTGATGCATTACGGACCCCCAAAATGCTGACCAACTGTTATTCTATGTTGTCTCGTTTACTTGCATGTGCTGTTGGGCAATTGCAAGCTAATATGTGGTATTTTCCTGCGTAACAAAATAATTATATATATATATTTATAAAGTGAGTGTATGTATTCACACTCTCTCTCGTATGTAACTAATTTTCCACATTCTAGTCCAGGGGTAGGCAACCTACAGCACTAGTGCCATGCACGGCACTCGAGGTGTCTTTGCACGGCACTCAAGGCTGCTAGAGCCAAACAGGCTCTGGCCTATCAGGAGTCTTAGTGAAACGTCAGATATCTGCTAATCCGAAAAAGTGGTGAATTACAATCCTCAATTTATGCATTGCAGCACATAGAGGAACTGATCTCAGATCACTTCCTCCCAGCACTTGTGAATAGGAATCCACACGTAGTAGAGCAGCTCACAGTTGCTGTTGCAGCTCCTGTCCTTGACATGTACCTGGCCAGCCTGGTCCCCACTGGAACCCACCCACATTGCTAGATATACACAGAAATGCAGAATAACCCTCCCCTCATACAAACATGCACACAATTCGCACAAACAAAACACCACTAACAATCCACATACATGCACACAACCCCACATGCAATACCCCAAACAGCCCCCACACACTACCAAACACACACTGTGACATATCCATCCACACACACACACAATTCCACAAGCAGCCCCCATACACAGCCCAAATTCATATGTATCATACACAATACCATAAACTACTCATGAACATATACAATATAATAGCTCATATACGCAGGGCCGTTTTTAACGCGGGGCAAACTGGCCAGCTGCACCGTGAGCCCTGCTGGCCTCAACTATTTCTAACCCTCTGGCCGGTAATCCGCAAACTAAGGAGGCCCACAGGGTGGCCCATGCACAAAGGACCATCCGGTGGGCTTCTGTCAGCAGGGGCCCGGTCGCAAGCTGAGGCGCTTTAACAGCGCGAGCGGGCCCCTTGCTTTTCGGCAGCAGGCTGGGGGGAAGTGACGGCCGCGCATCACTTCCTCCCACAAAGAGAGGAGAAGAAGAGTAGGCAGATTGAAGGGGGCTGGCCGAGAGCGATAGACCCCAACTCCCAACACCTTCAGCCACTAGCAGGAAAGGTAGGAAACTGAAGGGTGGGTTTTAAAGTGTATGTCTGTGTCAGTATGTCTGTCAGTGTGTGTGTGTGTCATCTGTGTGTGTCAGTATGTCTTTGCGTGTCAGTATATCTGTGTGTGTGTGTGTCAGCATGTCTGTGTGCCAGTATGTTTGTATGTCAGCATGTCTGTGTGCATTTCAGTGTGTATATATCTCTGTGTGTGTGTGTATGTGCATACATCTCAGCATTCACACACTAACACTACACATAAATACACCCCTGCATTCAAATTTCAACACTACGTACAAACACGTCTGTGTTACACACCAAAATTATATGTAAATACACCCCTGCATTAAAAAACTAACACTACACAAATACATGCTTGCAATCACGCCAACACCACATACAAACATATTCCATACAAAAACCTGTTTACATTCAAACACACAAAAACTGCTTAGTGCTAAATACAGACCTGCAAACATGGGTAAATGGTAGAGCTCCAGCTGACAATGCATTTCTGGAGTTGCACGACAGATGGGGATCTACCTTTTAATTACCCATGCAACAGGGAGACCGACAAAGATTCTTGCACCTCTCTACTTTAGGTCCTCCACTGCGTTGAGGTGGAGGACGTGATTGCATGCCTGGGGAGGGGGGACAGGGTCCAGGGGGCCCCAAGCAAATGCTTTGCCCAGGGTCCAGTCACTTTTAAAGACGGCCCTGCATATATGCACAAATACAACAATACAAAGCAATTACAGTAAAAATAACACAAGCAGAATACGGCAGCATACACCCCTCGATTTAAAAAAAATAGGACCAGCACGCTATGGGACATCACAATCCTATATCGGCACAGTGCTGCTAGAAGGTTGCCTACCCCTGTTCTAGTCAGTTAAATATTCCCGCCGATGATGTGATTGGTGCGGTCTGGGTTGCCATGGAGCAGTTACTTGACACGACCAGGCAGGCAGACGGAGCCTCCTTAGCTAGATGGAGAAAGTCTCCTGCAGACTTATTTACATGAACAGGGAGCCAATGGCATAAGAGCTTAATTTTGTTTACCTGGGAACGTGATGAAACAGAGTGATGCTAGAAAGTGGGTCGAGCCTTGCCAAAAATAGGAAAATTATTTCCTGATGTCATATGTACACGCCCAAGCACCCAGGTGGGCAGCCGATGTGAGTTGCTACTTATTATTTGTCTTATATAACGCCTTTAATTTACTATGATGTTTGTATGACCTGTTTGAAGATTGAGCAATAAAGAAAAGAATCCTGGAGTGAACTATATTAAGGTTTTGCCTGGAGTTGTGGGAGGGGCTTGTGTTGTCTATAAAAGGTACCCCACATCCCACTATCAATAATCTGGTGATGTGCATGCAGACCGCCATCTCACACTGCAGGCTCCACTTCTGATGTTTACTCCAGCTTCAATCTTCTGTGCGGCAAACTGACCCAGAAGCACCTGCTGACCTTCGACCCTGTGGACAAGCAGTTGCACCTGCGCCTTCCCATGGCGTCATTACGGTTTCATTCTATTTACTTTTTC